GGTGTATATTGCAAATGTTCTCACACCAAAGTGGGACTGGCTCGTACGGCTCACCATGCGAACTCTAAGTTGAGCCATTAATTTCAATGGATCAAGCACAAGCTGAGAAACTTGTTCATGATAGTAGTGACTTGTGCTGACCCCCCCAACAAGCCACATGTTCATCCTCACTGGATGCAGCACCTGAAATAGTGGTCAGATTGTGCTTGGGGAGGTCGAAGAGGCACGCGTGCAGCAGCCAGCAGAAGATCTCAGCAAAGAAGAGCAAGAGGCAAGGTTGACGCAGTGAAAGCCCGCAGTGCAGCGCGCCCATTAGTCACCTTTTCGGGTGTAGCCCCGCCAAAAGAACATGTTCTTTTGCTGCAAGTTTCAAGCCTGTCAGCCTATTGGATTTGGCACACATTTTAGCATTGAACGCCAGGCAGTCCATACAGAGTCTGTTGCAGAGGTGCAGCAGGAGCGGGGTGCAATGAACAATTGTTCACGGTACATTCCACTGTATATCCGAGACGAACATAGACGAACCTTATTTGCAGAGTATCGGATGTGCAAACATCATTTAAGATTCTTTGAGGAATCTCCGGCAGCTTCGCCCCAACATAGCACCACACCAACCGTCACACAGGCTCATTGCGGTGTCAGTTCACCAAAAAGCTTAAAGTGTCTTATTGAACGGTGTATTTTGCAAATGTTCTCACACCAAAGTGGGACTGGCTGACTGGCTCGTACGGCTCACCATGGGAATTTAAGTTGAACCATTGATTTCAATGGAACATGTCAAGCACAAGCTGAGAAGCATGTTCATGATAGTAGTGACTTGTGCTGACCCCCCAACAAGCCACATGTTCATCCTCGCTGGATGCAGCACCTGAAATAGTGGTCAGATTGTGCTGGGGGAGGTCGAATTTGGCACACATTTTAGCATTCTGCTGGGACACACCATTGATTGCCAGGCAGTCCATACAGAGTCAGTTGCAGAGGTGCAGCAGGAGTGGGGTGCAATGAACAATTGTTCACGGTGCATACCACTGTTGATCCAAGACGAACATAGACGAACCTTATTTGGCAGAATATCAGATGTGTAAACATCCTTTAAGATTCTTTGAGGAATCTCCTGCAGCTTCGCCCCAACATAGCACCACACCAACCATCACACAGGCTCAGTGCGGTGTCAGCTCACCAAAAAAGCTTAAAGTGTCTTATTGAATGGTGTATTTTGCAAATGTTCTCGCACCAAAGTGGGACTGGCTCGCACGGCTCACCATGCGGACTCTAAGTTGAGCCATTACTTTCAACGGAACATGTCAAGCGCAATCTGAGAAGCATGTTCATGATAGTAGTGACTTGTGCTGACCCCCCCACAAGCCACATGTTCATCCTCACTGGATGCAGCACCTGAAATAGTGGTCAGATTGTGCTTGGGGAGGTCAAAGAGGCACGCGTGCAGCAGCCAACAGAAGATCTCAGCAAACAAGAGCAAGAGGCATGGTTGACGTAGTGGAAGCGCGCAGTGCAGCGCGCATTAGGCACCTGTAGCTCAGCCAAAATAACATGTTTTTGTTGCTCCGTGTTTCAATCTTGTCAGCCTTTTGGGTTTGGCACACATTTTAGCATTCTGCTGGGACATACCATTGATTGCCAGGCAGTCCATACGGAGTCGGTTGCAGAGGTGCAGCGAGCAACGGTACATACCGCTGTTGATCCAAGACGGACCTTGACCTATGAGTGAGTGGTTTGGTAAGACTATTGTTCAGTGATGCTGAATCTCAATGATTGAAGAGCTGTCAATTTTTGAGACGTTTTGTGATTAAACTCATTGCCTACAGTCGAGTCTACAGAGATGGAGGTGCAGGATGGAGACCCCGCACTGAAAAAATTCAACACTAAGATAGGTATGATCAGAGCGGGTCAGCATAGCCAACGCCTTGGTGTATAGTTTTCAGTTTTGTGTAAATCTACAGGTAGGTGTGGTCGG